AGAGAGAGAGAGAGAGAGAGAGAGAGAGAGAGAGAGAGAGAGAGAGAGAATATCAGACTATAAGCAAAAGGTGAATACTGAGGCATTTGTCTGAAAAATTATCCAGAAAATCAAGGAGTGAAAAGGCAGGAGCCAGAGGGGCAAATGAGATGAAGTCCCTAGTCAGGGTGCTGATGGAACAATCCCTCTCCACAGAAAGGCTTCTACTTCAAGAGAACAATAAAGACGCAGGAGAAAGCATGGCTATGCGTGATATTCACATTCTGAGGAAGTGGGCTCCAGACCACATGCGGATGGATACCACGGCTTTGGGCAGAAGAGGGACAGAGGACAGAGCAGATGTAAATACGGAGCACAGAATGGAGCTCTGACATGGTTAGATGGGCAGTATGGAGTGGGCACTCACCAGGAGGCCAGAGCTGACTGGCTCCTTCTTTCTCTATAGCCATCAGACAGAGTCCCTGGCTACTTGTGGTCCCCACAGATTGGGAGAAGAGTGCATGTGCAGAGAAGAGCACAAAGCAAAGACTCTGGGTTATCACTTAGACTGATTTTCTTTCTGTGTGATCAGAGAGATGGTTCTAAGAAACACTGTGGGTCCCACTGGCAGAGAACAGGCTGGGCTGGTCATTTTGGAAGTTAGAGTTAGTCCTGGTTCCACTTGGGAAGTGTGAATGAGCCAATCACTTCCCCTCTCTGCCTTCTGTTTACCCCTCTATACAATGGAGACAATAATATCTCTGAAATAGTCGTTGTAAAGATTAAATGACCGTGCTCACATGCTCGTTTAAAGCCCCGGTCGGGTGCCTGGCATCAGTCGGCCTGAGCCCCTGAGGCTCATCTCTCATCATACTGTTATGACAAAGAACTCTCCAAATGGCAGACTTAGAGTTTCATGGGATAGCAATGGTGACATCATAACCACAGGTTCTCCTTTTGTTTTGTTTTAAGACAGTCCTACTATGTAACTGAGGTGGTTCCCAGATTAAGAATACCCCTGCCTCAGCCTCCCAAGTGCTGGGATTACAGGCATGGGCCCCACACCAAGCTCCGTACATACTCTATATCCAACACAGCAAACACTCAGATGTCTTTAGACATTTTAAGGAAGCTGATCATCATCACTGAGAACATCCAGCCATGCCTGGGATTTGTCACAGTTACTATATTACAGATAGGATGCAGCAACTCAAAGGCTTCATGGCTATTGTTCTGCAGCTGAAGCCTTCAGCATGCTTCTCACCTAGTAACCTCACCTCTCACCTAGTAACCTTTCCTCTCAACCTCTCACCTGGTAACCTCAGCTCTCAAGGAACCGGTTCACCTGGAAGCAGTCCTTGTTTTCATTTGGAGGCAATGTGCCTTTTCAGACTCACCTTCCTAACCTGGGCCAAGACTAAAGGCAGACTAGTGTTCTGTGACAGTAGATGTTATTTGGAAGCTGCACTGGACGATGAGCCTGTGCTTCTGTCTGCCGTTAGGAGAAACTAGCAAGCCATTGATAACATTGGCACAGTAGCTTATGACACAGAATTTCTTAACAGAGGGACAGGCAGTTCCTTGAAAATACAAATAAAAGCCAGTGCCAGAAATGACTATATTTAGTGAGTCTTCAAGACATAGCCTCTACCCTGCCATGTCTAGTATATCCCTTCAGTTGTTTGGTCTGGCGTTGGGACTTCTTCTCTGTGTCAGGGTCACTGATCTTTTGGTTCATGGCAGTGGCACACCTTTCAGGGAACCACAACAAATGTCCCCTGCAGCCTAAGAGGCAAAGACTGAGGAGTGAGACTGGTATATGCAAGCGAATGGGTACAATAAGATTTCAAATGGGTCAGCATTTTTAAAAAGGAAATCTTATAGGGAATGCAGAATGCCCTTGTAGTATGCCGGCATATGACACACAGGAGTACGTCATTTGTGTCCAAGGCCAGTTAGCTCCGTTACCATGGCATTCAGTTTAGTGCACCGAGAAGAAGTGCGGATGTTCACGACACAGGGAGTCATGCATGTGCATCAACAGGAAGGTCAATTTTATAGAAAAGCCAAGATCAGAGTTAGAAAGATACTCAATTTTTTATAACATGAATATATGTACAAATTATATAGTGGACCTCCAGCAGAGGTGAATCATCTTAATTCCAGAATGCCTTCCCTATAATCACAAATGCATGCGTTTAAAGCACAGTCTGGATCCTGACTAACTTTTTACTATTAGCACAGATATTAAATGAAACAATATTTGGAATATATATCTATGTATATATATATGTATATATATATGTATATATACATATATATCAGATATGAGAGAATAATCCTTGTATGTCTGTGTTGTAAGTATAGGTTCAAGAATTTTACATCTTAAGATTCCTAAGTTCACCTCTCATGCTTCATTCTGGAAGGCTTGCATGCCATATGCAGAGCCAGCAGGGGACCACTTTGTGATACGAGACCAATAAACAAAAATCCCAAGCTGTCTCCACCCATGAAATAAGTTTGGGGAGCACAAAGTCCTTCAAGCAGTCTGGTCAAGTATCTGACTGTTTTCTGAAGTTATCTTAATCTATTTCTTCATATAGTTGTCGTAAGCTTTTTAGATTGTCTTTCCCTGGCAATGCCATTATGTAAACTCACTTAGAATATGAGCTCCAGACTGGAAATACCTTGACTCAGTCTCTATTCCCAATCATGGTAATTTTTCTAAGGATAAGAAAGAAAATGCAAGCTTTATTCATAAATATCTCGTCACCCTGTATTCTGCAAACGTGAACAACCAAGAACAATCACGCAGTGGTTTCCAAAGAGAAGGGCTGAGTGAACTGTGGGGCATTGCTTCATCAAAAGCAGGAACCACGGGAGCTGCCAAACAACGCGCTCAGATGGTATAAATGAAAAGAGCAGCACTTCAGAGCTGTTATCTCCATCGTTATGGCAACTATGCAAATCACATAAACTCCCAGCCAGAGGCTGGAGAGCAAGGTGAAATTTTAGATGCCTCTTCTGTCTGGTTTGAATGGGAAAAGCTCTGGAGAGCTGGGCAGAGGCCACCCTTCATGGAGAAAGGAGTTCGTGTTTTAGGTAGTGAGCATGGACGCCATTGAAAGTCAGACAAGATCAGAATGGAGCTCTGCAGACTGGCTGCTGCATGAAAGAACTGGAGTTCACAAATCTGTCAGAGACCAGCCAGTCAGCAAGCCTAACCCCAACATTGCCATGAGAGATTTAGGGGGACCTCGTGGAGGGACATCCTTTACGCTAGTGCTTATCCTAAAATACTACCAAGGCGCTTCAAGATTCTTAACTGTGGTTTCGATGTAATATTCATTCTACATTCATATCCATCTGCCTGCAGATCTTTACAACCCCTGCCTGTGTGAATCTCATCTTTGGCAAGCCCTAGCTGAGAAGGCTGGCGCCTTTTTGCTATAGTAGGCACAGTCATGCACTGCCTGTGTCGGATTTGGATAGTCGTGCAATTTCTAGAAAGTCTGGCCATCTTAAGATGATCATGGTGTGGTAATGGGAGATGTGGAAAGGCTTGGTGACGAGCCTTGCTATCGAATGCTTGCTGGGCATTCGCTGTACTTTATATAATTAGCTTTCTCAGTGCCAGCCCAAAGTGTTGTTTCTGCTCTGTCTGGCATCAGAAAGAGTTTAAGGTGCCAATGCTGGGTGCAGAAATCCTGGGTTTCAGGATGTCACCAACCCTTGCTGCTTTCGTTTCCCTCTGCCAACATGGCACTGTGCCCTAGCCCAACCCACCCAACTTTCTAGCTTGCTCATTTCCCATCCACTCTGCGCAGTGGGTCCAAACCCCTGTCCTTCCCCCACTTCTGGGTCTCCTTACAGATAGTACCACTTTTCCTTCCAGGCAGAAAGTAACAAACTGACCAGATTTAGAGCCACCTAGGAGACATAGCCCAGGACATGTCAGTGAAGATGCTACCAGAGGGGTTCAGCTGAGCAGGGACCTACCCTGGATGTGGGTGGCACCATCCACAGGCTGAGGTCCTGGGCTGAATAAAACGAGAAACAGGAGGAAGTGCTGTACACCAGCTTTCGTCTCTCTCCACTTCCTGTTTGTGCACGGCCTTTGCTCTCCCCCACCCCGACCCTTGCTCTTTAAATCATTTGTATCAGGTATTTTGTCACCAAAACTGATATGACAGACAATAGAATAGAATTTGGCACATGTGAGTGCAGTTTATAAAGAGATCCGTAAATCTCTTTAGTAGTTGTTATTCTTTTCAGCTTGAAAGACCAATGATCTTGACTAGCGAAATGTTCCATCTGGAAAAGAAAGCCAGTGCCCTTCTCCTTCCATGTTATTCTTTACCAATAAACCAGGGCATCATCTCGTCTGGGCACTGTAGTAATTTTAACACCTAAAAGGTAATCTTTCAAAAAGTTTTATGTGCAATTTTTAAATGTAGTAAATGGGGTGGAACAAGATGATTCAAGCAAGGCAACTGGAGACTGAGGTGAAAAAGGAAATATATACCTATAGAATTAAACTGGGTAGCAGTTTATTTGCATAACTACGTCCCCTAGCTCTCAGGCACTGTGAATCCCTGCATCCATAAGAGATTAAGTTGGAGTCGTTCGTTCTCCCACTGAGAATGACTTTGGGGTGCAAGAGCATAAACAAAATTTCTTGCCAAAGAGGAAAGTCTTACAGCCCCACCCATGGGGCAGGAACACAGCAGACTATGCAGGACAGGTCCTGACTGCCTGCCACCAGGTTCTCTGCATAAAACTCGCATGGACCCGTCACTTCTCCGCTCTCCTCCCACATCGCTGTCCACATCCTGTGGCTCTCCTACCCAGCCCACTTAGTAACAGAATCAACTGAGGTGCCCTGCGCTCAGGGTCCCTGCTGTCCTGTGGATGCTCTCCCATTCCCTGGCCAAGTTCTATCCTCCTTCTTCAGGGTCCCTCCCATCATGTCAGCAAGGAAGCATCTCCAGTGGTGCTGAGGGAACAGAGGGAAAGCGCCCCTTGATGGGAGTGTAAGCTTTTGAGGAGTTGTGAATCTGTGGAAAACTTGAAGGCTTTCTCACCAGAAAAATACTCAAAAACTTTACAGCAAATTTAGAGGGCCCGAGAATTTCATAGAATGACTCGTGGAGCCCATATGAAGGCCCCAGATTTGCTTCCAAAATTCAAACATAGCACTGATTTGCACAAAAGAAACCTCAACACTTTTTTTTTCTCCCGTGACAGCTTTAGCAGGCAAATGCTACTACCAAATCATCACTAACGAAGCTTTTAGCGCAAGTGGTTCATCTGGATAAAGGAAAATGATGTCTAATCCTACATCTTCTGTTTCAGGTCCGACTACAGCCATCTGTCCTCCACCAGCAGTAAGTATCCTTTGAATGTCCTTCAAGCTTGGCTTCTAAATTTTTTTTTTTTTGCTTCTAAATTTTTAATTGAAATAGAGTTACATCACTTTCCTGCTTGCTCCCCTCCTTCCCACCCCTCCAATGTACCCCCAACTCCCTTCCAAACTCACGACCTCCTCTTCTTTAACCACTGTTGTTACATATACATTCAAACAATAAATATAAGTGGAGCCTGTTCTGTCCATGGTGCGCTGCTGCACGCATACATATCTGACCATTTAGTATTGGATAACCATCTGGGAGCTCAATCCCCGGAGAAGACTGATTCTCATCTCTCTGAAGTTATTAATTGCATGTAGCTCCTCAGCTAGGGGTGGGGATCCCATTAGATTTCCCCTGTCTATGTTGGGATGTCAACTGCTGTTGAAATTGTTCAGATCTTGAGAACTTGCCGTGTTGTTGAGATTTCATGAGTGTAGCTTCCCTGTCATAACTAGAAGGCACAGTCTCCCAGCAAACTGCCTTGTCTGACTTCTACACTCTCTCTGCCCCTCTTCCATGCTGTTCCCTAGTCTTTAGATCCAGGCGTTGTATAGTAGATGTGTCAGCAGGAGCCCACAGTCCATCGTTCTCTGCATTTTGACTAGTTGTGCTTTCTGTAACTTTTAACTAGTTGTGTCCTGCTGCAAAAAGAACCTTCTTTGGTTGGGGGTAAGATCTACTCTTAAGTATGCATATAAGAGTATTTAGAATGTAGTTAGGAACTGTGCTGGTTTAGGAAAGTGGCAGTTGTAGGCTCTCCTCTAAGATCCATGACCTGACTAGTCACATAGAGTTGGCCAGTTTACAGTGTACAGTACCAGACATGCTCTCCCTCCTGCTCAGTGGGCCTTGAGTTAAATTACACAGCTGTTGGTTATTGTTGATTAAGTGGAACTGTTGCACCTGTCGGGATATCCTGTCATGCTGGTAATTGCTGTGGGTCATAGGTGTCACCACTGGCTAGAGCAATTGACTGCTCATGCTCCTCAGCAGCTTTCAGAGCACCTTCTAGAACTACGAAAGCGAGTTCACAGGGAGGAGATGTTCAGGTCAATTTCATTTCAAATCCTCCTGGTCCAATATGTCCAATATGTGTGGTGTCTTTGGCAATAAGGACTTACCTTCAGCCTCTAGGAGGCAACCAAGGCCGATAGCAATAGCATTTGTTGTTTTAGGAGAGCCTTGAACTCCCCTGCCCAATAACTCAATGAGAAGTTTCTCCTGCCTGGTACTAGGGCTTTTGTTAGATAGCCTATGGCTCTTGGATGGAGTATTAAAGCCAGCCCAAAGTGGTGTAACTATATTCTCTCCCTCTCCCTCTCCCTCTCCCTCTCCCTCTCTCTCTCTCTCCCCCTCCCCCCCCTCCCCCGTCTCTCTGCATGTGTGTATGTATATGTGTGTTCTATATGAGTATGTGTATGTATATATTTATGTGCACACATATACTTGTGTATTTCATATGTAATTTTAGATAAATATAAAATAATTCCCCATGTCCTTTTTCAAACATCCTTAATGTTATTTACCCCTCCTCCCTCCCCGTCTTCCTGTATTAACACCTCTCAGTTATAGACAGTCCCCTCATCGGTTTTACATTTCTCCTCCATACCACCTGTAGCCTGCTACCCCTCTCTAGAGCTCCCGCCCACGCATGCTACCCCTCTCTAGAGCTCCCGCCCACGCATGCTACCCCTCTCTAGAGCTCCCACCCACGCACACACCATAGTCCTTTTTCTTTGCTGATTTTTTCAGTTCTCCAGATTATATACTCGCATCTGAATATTTGGATCTATGAACCGCAGATAAGAGAGAGCACATGGCAATTGTCTCTCTGGGTCTGGGTTACCTCACGAAGTATAATATATTACGGATCCATCTAAGTACCTGTGAATTTTATGATTTCAGTTTTTTGACATCTGAGTAGTATTTCATTGTGTATACATACCATGTTTTCACTATCTATCCATCAGTTGGAGGACATTTAGGTTATTTCCATGTCGTAGCTATTGTGGATAAAGGCAGCAATGAAATGGCTCAGCAAGCATCCATTGAGTATGATGTCGGGTCCTTTGGGCATATGCCAAGGAGTGATGGAGCCGGGTCTTACAGTAGACTTAGCTTTAGATTTTTGAGAGTTCTCCACACTGATTTCCATAGTGGTTGTGCCAGTTGTCCATCGCATCAACAGTGGATGTGGGGTCTCTTTCCCCCGGGTCCTCAACAGCATCTGCTGACAGTTGTTCTGTTGCCCTTTGGCATTCGAACTGAGGTGAGCTGACATCTCAGTGGTTCTGATTCATATTTCCCTAGTTGCTAAGGTTAATGAATAAATACTCTTTTAAAACGTTTCTAACTCATTTTTATTTTGCCTTTGAGACTCCCGTTTAGATCCAAAACCCACTTTTAAACTGGATTGTTTGTTTTCTTGGGTCTTTGTTTTGAGTTCTGTATATATTCTGGATATTAATCGTCCATCAGAACTGTGGCTGGAAGGAGTCTCTCCCATTCTGTGGCTTCTCTTTCACTCACCCATTTTCCTTAGCCGTGCAGAAGCTTTATGGTTTTATGAAGTTCCACTTAGCAACTCCAAATGCCTGAGCAAATGGAGTCATGTTTAGAAAGTCTTTTCTGCATCTATACCATGCAGGTGAGGTGTAGACTATGTTTTCTAGAAGCTCCATGTTTCAGGTTTTATGTTAAGGATCTCTCTCTCTCTCTCTCTCTCTCTCTCTCTCATTCTCTCTCTCTCTCTCTCTCTGTGTGTGTGTGTGTGTGTGTGTGTGTGTGTGTGTGTGTGTGTGTGTTGCTTGCTATATCTGGAGTTGATTCTTGTGCAAGGCGGTAGATACAGGTCTTACCTATTTGTTTCTTTTACATGTGTGCATCCAGTTTCCCCAGCAACATTTATTGAACATGCAGTCTCTTCTCCAGTGTATATTTGGCATGTGTGTCAACCACCAGACAGCTGTAGTTATATGTATTTATATTTGTGTCATCCAATGTGCTCCATTGTCCGATATGTCTGTTTGTATACCATATTGTTTTCTTGCTATGGCTCTGTGATATAGCATGAAATCTCGAACAGTAATCTTTATGGCATTGTTTCTATTGCTTAGGATCGCTTTGGGGGTATTTTGTTGTTGCTGCTGTTGTTCCATATACATGTTAGGATGCCCTTCTCTATTTATGCAAACGTCATCATGGGTATTTTGATTAGGACTGGATTGAATCTGTAAATCACTTTTGTTAGAATTGTCATTATCACCATTTTAATTCTACCAATCCATGATCAGATATCTTTCCATCTTCTAGTGTCTTTCTCAATCTCTGTCTTCAGAGGTAAGTAAAGTTATCATTGTCCAGTTCTTTGCTTCCTTGATTAGGTTTATTCCTGGTTATATTTTTTTTTGAAGATACTGTGAATGAAAGTCTGTTCATGATCTCTTTCCAAGTGTGTTTGTTGATGATGTATAGAAAAGATACTGAGTATTGTAAGTTGATTTCGTACGTTGCCATTTGGCTGAATTGTTAATCATTTCTAGACGTTTTTGGTGGGATCCTTGACATGGGGCTGCAGACAGGGGCTGCTTGACTTGTTGTTCTGCTCTTGTCTTATTGCTCCAGTTCAAGCTTCAAGCACTGTAGTAAAAAGGACTCAGCCCTGTCTCATTCCTGATTTTAATTGGATTTCTTTGAGTTTTTTCCATGTAGTATAGTGTTGGCTATAGTTTTCCATATATAGCTTTATTATGTTAGAAATGTCCCCTCCAGTCCTACTACTTCCTAGGCAAGGCATGTTGGATTTTGTCAAGTGTCTTTCTGTATCTGTTGAGATGATCATTCAATTTTTGTCTTTAAGCCCACTTACATTCTTTATTATTTTTATGGACTTAAGTTGAGCAATCCCTGCATCTTTGGGATAAAGCCAACTTGACCGTGGTGAATGATCTTTTTAATATGCACCTATATTCAGTTTTTAAATAGTTTACTGTAGATTTTTCATCTATATTATTGGCCTATGGTTTTCTCTTTTGTTGTGTCTTTACTGATCTTGGCATTAGAAGACACCTGGATTTGTAGACTTCACAGACGCTGCTTCTGCTTCCTTTTCTTTCTGCTATAAGTGCATCTAAGCCTGTGTTTTTCTTGGGTGTTTCAGTCTCTTTATTTATTGATGGTCTGCTTTGGTAATTGCCCTCCTCTTGATTTGACTTTGGTGGCTGAGATAAATGCATCCATTTCCTTTAGGTTTTCCAGCTGAATGGAGGGAGCACAGGTTTTAAAAGCATTCCCTTATACAACTGAATTTCTATAGTGTCTGTTTCCATGTCGTTTCTGATTCTGTTCATTTGGATCCTCTCTTCAGTCCAAAACATTACTTCCATTATTTTCCCTAGTACTGATTCAGTGGGTAGGAATTCTTTTAGCCTGTTTGTATCATGGAAAGTTTTTCTTCCCCCTTTAACTGTGACGGATAGCTTTCTGATTGCAGTGTCTAGATTGGCAGTTATGTTCTGTAGAATTTGGAGTATATTACTCCACGTTCTTCCAGATTTGGAAGTTTCCATTTAGGAATCAAGGTTGTCTTAGCAGTCCTCCGGAGCGCAGTACCACAAAGAGCATCTGTGTGGTGCATGCTTTGATTATGAGTAGGAATTGCCAAGGAAGTCTTTCCCCAAAGAATGTAATATGGGGGACTCTAACTCTGAGCTGGAGGCTTTTCCTGTCCCTTAGATATGTGACTCCTCTCCCTATGGAAACCCAGCCAGGGTTAGAGTTAGGGTTAGATATGGGAATAGATGTGCCCCAAGCTTTATCAGCAGCCTGTAGACCTTCTAGGAACAGGGAAGCAAATTAACTCATCCCTTGACACTGAGTGCTCCAATCTCTGCTACGTGCGGGCTAAGAAAAAACTCAGAGCCTGCGCTGGCTCCATGGAGTTCAGCTCACTCCTCTCAGGATTTCTCTCACTTACA